CAGAAGACACATTTTAGTTCTTCCAACACAGAAGGACAGCTATTTAACCATAGTAGAAATCTCCTGACTCTTTATATCCTAAAGAACTCTTCCTCCTTGATCATGTGTTCAGACACTCCCATTCATGCACAAGTCTTTCCATTTCTACTCACTGCCCTTAGAATATCCACTTTGCTGAAGCAAAATACCCAACATGTCCATCACTGTACTCTGCAGGGTCATCTGGTCTCACCATAAAAGAATATGACTTGATCCCATGGAATATAGTTCTTAATTACTGTGCATGCTCCTTATTTCTTCATTTTTTTAAAATAAACAGAAAATAGATTGACATAGTACTGGTTGATCTTTTAAGGTCAGTAACATTGCAAGATAGGCAAATAGTGGAGAAAGGAGGATTCTAATTGTCCTCAAAACCACGAAACATTTTTGGATTACAGAAGTGAAGACCTCCTGCTATTCTCCTGCTGACTTTGGTTAGGTTATTGTCTTATAGGATCGAAGGCACTCAGTAGCACAAATTATCATTGCATGTACACTTTACCGTAGGCCTTAAGATGGGAGACCTCAAGAGCATGTGGGTAAGATAAGTGCCCTTCGCAGAAATGATATAGTGAAACAAAAAAGAATATCAAAAGAAGAAGGAAAGAATCAAGGACTAGACCGTAAAAAAAAAATATATTGTGTATCAAATATTCACTCCTTCCTCATACTAGGACTCTGGCACCCTTCTTCAGTTCGGGCATTAGGCTCTGGTATAATTTTTCAGTTAGAGTGATGCCTTACTTCACCTGCAGTCTCACTGCAAGATGTCAAACAGCATGGCCATATTCAAAGGGAATATGTATCACAACAAAGCATCCCAGTTGTGCCATTTCTTAGGAGGGCTCAACTCCTGATGATGCCACAAGAGTACCTTCTGAGTGAAGGATGAGAATAAGACCTTCTAAGTTTAGCCCAATGAGATCTTAAAAGGACTGAAGGAAAGAGAATCACCAAATATATGAAGAGATACAACAAGGGTGAAGTACCTTTGCCGGAGATTTTTGAGTTATGCTTTTGTTTGTAACTATCTGAAACAGAGAAAGAAATAGAGGGTGAATCTTACATGGGGGAAAGGAAGACAAAAGGCAGAGAAGCCAGAAAAAGAGTAGGAGAAAGAGAAAGAAAATATAAGAGATGATTTATTACAGGGCAAAGGGAAGTGGAGCCTTGCCAACAACTTTATTTCCTTCATGCAAAAACACCAAGAGCAGCAGCAGCAGCTGGTGGCAAACATGCAAGTCAGAGAGCAGCAGAATATTTTGCTGGAAGGGAAAAGATGAAGCCCTGAGTGCACCGAGCTGGTAGGACCAGGCTGGAAGCAGAATCAGCTGTCTGGGTGCTACTTACTGTCACAAACATAGGGTTTGTCATGATCGTCTTGGGAGGCAGCATCATTCCGTCTCCTGCCACCTCCAGATCCCCGAGCCTGCAAGAACAAGAGGAATGTTAATATTATTCTATCACCCCTCAGGTCTCCTTGTGCCCCTCACCCTCCTATGAAAAATGTGCAATATAAACTAAACAAATCCTCAGCTTCCATACAGATTTTTCAAGGGTGGGCTTGACCCTTCATCTCCTAAGATAAGCACTACGTTAATGGACCTTGTAATGCAGTGGAGATCCCCTCCACAGATAACCCAAACTGTTCATCCATAGCAGTAGGTCACTGCCAGCACATATTCAGTCGAGTACCATCACACATTCATTTCTGAAGATGTTCAAATACCTTGCTTAACTGAATATGAATGAATGAATGACTAGATGAACAGGTGTTAGAGGATAAATATAACCATTAAACCAGCCAGAAAACAGGCCTCAAATAAAACAGAGGTAAAATTATTCCATTTAACATTTTCAAAAGGGAGTTGTTTGTTTTGTTTTGTTTTCTAGCTGAAAGGCAATGTTTTGAAACGGCCTTCTGGGACAAAGATACTACGGCTAATTGTAAAATGAAGCTTTGGTCAGTTAGTGGAAAAGATTAGGTAACATGGCTACCTGCAACAACAGAGAACGGGAATTACCCAGAAAAGTCTCTCTGCAGTTCTGTGTTTCTACAACACACCAAGCTGGCAGCCCTGGAAACTGAAAAGCTGTTTCTCCACAGCACAGACTGCTCTGTCCTGAGCTCCAGAGGTAAGAGTGGAATTCAGCACCAGTTATTTGGTCCTGACACTTCTCAGCTGAGAAGCCAACAAGGGGACAGTTGATATCTGTCCAATGGTGGAGGCTGTGATGTGGAACTGGGAACTGAGCCAAGGTCTTCAATTCTTTCATGTTCATTAATGTACAGTCTACAGATGACAACAATTTTAGACTCGATCTTTATTTGAGGAAGTGATCTGCAAGTGGATGGCGAGACAGCCTTGTATTAATTCTGCCACATTCTCTGTTCCTGGGTAAAAGCAACAAAATCATTTCTGCTGCTCCTCTTTTATTAAACTGTTGATGTTTCTCACCCTAGACAAGGCCACCTCACTCAAATCCTTCAAGCTTTTGCATATGAAAATAAGAAAGGGACAGAGCTTCATCAAGTAAAGTTGTAGAAGATGTAGAAATTCTGAGAATATTAGTGCCCTAGACATAAGGGGGTCATATGAGCTCTGTCCCTCTTCTATGGATTTGGCATTGAATGGGCACTATTGGAGCTGCATTCCATTGGACATCTAAAGAGAAGGAACAAGGAACTTTTACACTAGCCTGCCACAGTCTGTCAAAACAGGGATTTATAAAAACTTCACACATTATTTCCCTGGGATTGCTTAGGTCTAATTCTTAACACAGTCCTGAAGGAAAGATATGGATTTGCAGCTGTCTGGATGGGGTGAATACTGTTAGGTATGACAAGAATAGCTCTGCTTTCTGCAAAGACCTCTGTGCAGATCAGCACACACGTGCAGAGTGAGATTTGTAAGGATGAACTGAAAAGCAGTTTCACCCTGGAAAAGGCCCCAGCAACAATTGTTTGGTGGAAGCTTCTTTACTGACCATATCACACTAAATCATCTTACCAGTCTGCAATGTTTTTTCTCTGACTGCCAGCTCTGTAAACCTCCTCTGGGCTATGAAATCAATCCCAGGCTAGTTCCTTTCTTCCCTCACTACTGCAAAATGTGCTGCAAGCTGAATTTCAGTCCATGGCAGCTCCTATACAACCCTCAGCTCATCAGAGAGTCTTCGTAGAGACAAGCAATTGGCCCTTAACAAATATTTCTGCTGATACCTGGATTAGGATCCAATTTCCCCATCCTACCAGCTGCATTGGCTTTTCAGGGCTGTGAAAAAGCTGTAAAGTCTTATTTTTGTCACCAGTCAGTAGGTCTGCCTCTGTTTACACACTGAGAATGGATCTCTTGAGTAAGAAGGTACTATTTTTACATAGGCACCTTTCAGAATAGGATGGTAATTTCAGGTCTGTTGCTCAGAGTTTCGCTAGTCTTACAGCCAGCTGTTTCCCTTCAAAACGTTCTCTACAGAAACGCAAGGGTACAGCCATCATGTCATGACCGCATGTCAGATACACTTTTTCATGCACTGAACACACGGGGAGATTTTTCCAGTCAATGACTTTCAATGGGACTTGGGTTCCTAAATGTCTTTAGTGCCTTTGAAATTGTCCCATGGGATATTCAGCTGACAAGCAGACAATCTGTACAGGTGCAGCTGCATTCCTCTCACATCTCCTAGCAAACCGTCTTTCCTGGCTCCTACCACATTCCCCTTGTCCAGTAAAGATACTAAAAGCTCCTTCTGTAAATCCATCTCTTCAGTCTTCTGTGTCCTCCCTACTGCTCCCACAATTTCAGGGCTAGCCTTGAGGGGGTAGTAAACCGAGCAGCTGCCCCAGAGGCAACAAGCTGAATGCCACGTGCTGGCTGTCGGCACTCCAGTCTGTTGAATTCAGTCATCCACGACTGCCTTTATTCTCCTGACGGGATGCAGCAAAGACTACGAGACTTGACGTGTGAGGCCAGGAAGCCGTGGCACAGCAGCCTTGAAGCAGCCCTGAAGCAGCCAGAGAGAGAGTAGCCAGGGGGACAGATGGAGAGCTCAGGATTAAAAATAAAATCATGCTATAGGGAAAGGAACAGGCATGTGCAATTTGGAAAGTCCAGAGCGGTAATTCTGTTGCATCAATCCTGCATCAATGCTGTCAGCCCCTCTCACTCCTCTCTGAATCCCCAAAGGCCACACTCTGTAGGATCTAGTTTCCTATGCATGTCCTTCACCTCTTCTGCCCTCTAAAAATAACCTAACCACCTCCTTCCCAGAAGCGAAGTGCTGCCCAGGTTTCATGTCCCCAGTTTCAAATCCTGGGTCCTGATTCCCTACAATGGGTCAGGCTCACATTAGAAAAGGGCTGCTTGAAGAGTGGCAAAACACTCGTGACCAGGTGCAATTCAGGCTATGATTCAGGCTTACCAGTTTTCAACAGCTAGGGAATCTGGCCCTGATTTTCAAATCCTAATTTATTCCACATTTCGCTTTGGTTATTGATGCCATCAAGAAAACCCAAAAAGGGCTGCTTGAAGAGTGGCAAAACACTCGTGACCAGGTGCAATTCAGGCTATGATTCAGGCTTACCAGTTTTCAACAGCTAGGGAATCTGGCCCTGATTTTGAAATCCTAATTTATTCCACATTTCACTTTGGTTATTGATGCCATCAAGAAAACCCAAAAACTGCTCAAAGTATTTGGCACTCTTCAGACTTCTTTTTGCACTGAATGAAGTCAGGGCACTAGCAGAGCAGGAGTTAGTTGCAAGAAAAAGGCAAGAGATCCTGCTGCTCCTGTACTTAATAGGAGGCCAGTTCTAGGGCAGAAAATAAGAGGTAAATTTATGTTGCAAAATGAATGGGAATCTAGTAGCCTCCAACTCCTTTCGCTACAGTAGCAGAGAAAAAAGTAATAGAGCGTTTCTGAAACAATTTCCTGAACAGGAGAGTAAAACTTTGTACATAACAGTAACTTCAGGACTTTGTTTACATAGGCCTGGGATAGATGAATACAGCAAATTGCCCTCTCCTGAGCAGCATACTGCTTGTAGCTATTCACTCCCTTTCACTCACCCTAACCAGCATGCACAATTTACGTGAGAGTTAACTTGTTAGAAAAGAGTTGTTAGCCTGGAGTATTAGTCGATCACTACAGTCAAGCTTGTGTGCATGTATCGATTCTAACTCCTGGTTTTGGTTACTGGTTCATACAAATTTTCTGAAACTTACATTTTTCTGGAAAATTTTTTTCCAGGTGGGGGTCTTTGGCTAAGAAAGAAAGAAAGAAAGAAACTGGTTCAGGTGATTTTGAGAATAAGGAAGGTGAAATATATACTTATCCAATTATTAAAGTGCTTTGATCTTATATTAAAGGACTTAAGCTCCAAAATGAGGAGCAGAAAACTGAAACAACATAACAACAGAAGAAACCAAAAGAGAGGGTCTGATGCATAAGTACATTGCAAGTATTCAATGTGGTTTCATGTCTCTCTCGTATTCAAAAGCTATTATATCCCGCTCATTTGGTCTAAAATGTGGCCCTTCTTGCTTGACTCCTACGAACACATCAAAAGGTACTTGTAGAGCTCCTGTGCCCCTGCAGCATCCGCTAGAGCCAAAGAAAGATGAAAATGCTCAAAACTTCTGAGAATTGTGTTCACTTTTATAACAGATGCCTAGCTTAAGGGGCCGCAATTGAAAATGTTGACTCCAAGTTTTAAAATGTTGGTCTCATTACTTAACTGTTGCCCTGCTGAAATTGTGAAAAGACATTTTAGGTAAGAGAAGGGACACAGACCCCACTTAGGATAAAATATCGCCCATTTTAAGCAAATGGAAGATTTGCCATTGGCTCAAGAGGGCCAGTGTCAGCCATAAAGTGCTACCTTGGAGAATGCTGCAAAACATAGTAACACAGTTCAAGTTACTTTTATTGATATTTTTTTTTTTTGGCTGTCATAACTGAATTTGCTGCTTTTCTGTAATTAGTAAATGTTGTCTTAAAGTAAGAGCATCGTAATAGCAGGATGTCATAATAGTTATTACAGTTTACATTACAATTGTAAATACAGCACTGTCATAAATTTAACCCAACTTTTTACCCTCAAAATAGTCTTTTTTCTCAGTAATTCATAAAAATAAACTGAAAAAATACTAAAAAATCTTCGACCATATGACAGAAAATTATCTACACTGTTATTATTATCATATATCCATAGATACACACTTTGCATACACAATACACATGACAAATATACACTAGAAAGCAGAGGTCTGATTCCTTCCTTTCCATTCCAGTAAAGTCTCCACCTACCCGTCCTCTAGGCCTGTTCTTTCGTTTTGGAATATCTTCTTCCAAATCCTCTTCCTCATTCACTTCATCTGCATTTTCATCATTTTCTAAAACCCTCTATGATTGAACAATAAACAGGAATGGTTAGAAGAAAAGAAGATGACACATACAACCAACTGCTGCTCTTTACCACAGAGACTGCAGGTTATTAAATTACAGTTGATTAATGATATAATGTCAAATCAGATCCCAGAACCCTTACTTCTTTCCACTAAAGCAAAATTTGCTTTCCCTTCCACCCTTGGTTCTCCAGGGAGTTGTTATCAAAAAATACCACTGATATCAGTCAACTATGAAAAAAAGGTTCCTAAGAAATAACAGGGCAGAGAAAATTCCCCCATATATTCCGGCGTGTTTAATGGATCTAGAAAGTAACATCTTTCAAGGCTTATACCACAGGTACAACTCTGTAATGTGGAAGCAGGGATCTTGCTGCATGAGAATGCTGAGGAAGTACAGGGCTCACTGAAGTTAGTAGGAACAATAGCAATGGTTCCTTCAATTAATTATTTAATAGGAACAATAATTCATCATCTCACATAACTATGAGATGCCCAGGCTAGGGAATTTCAACACTTTTATCTTGATCTTTTGAAATGTAACCTCTACAGAATCAAACACAGGCTGGCCGTCCAGAAAACATGCGTAAGCCAGACAGCGCACGGACAAAGGCGAGACAAACCATCACAACGCTAATGTGGAAAGAAGTCCTGTTGAAATCCCCTCAACCCTTGGCATGTCTGCTAAAAATACAGAAACGGGCCCCAGCCATTCCTGCCATGATGTGGCATCACTTCAAAAGCGACTAACCTGGAATCACTGTCTTACCTTTGCCATGCCACCTTCACTTAAATTACAACATGCAGTCATGATGTAGATTTAAATCAGTGACTTTAAACTGACGGGGACGTTTTTCAGTCTTACTGTATTTGTCCCTTCCCTGTTATTTCTAGTTAACAGTTATTTGAGAGCCAGTAGAGGGAGAACAGGAGCAAATCACAGTTGCTTTCTGTCCTTCCTGCATACCTCAAGCACGAAATTCTGAAATTGTGAGAAAGAATACAACAGAAATTTCACTTTTTAAAAAAGCCTATATTTGGAAGACCTACTATACAAGTTTATTTGTATTTTATCAGCTAAATTTTTAAGACCAATATTGGACAGTATCCTTTTTAAAAATTACAAATAACTTCTATAACAGGGTAGAGGACCAAGTTTTCATCTGGTTTTTGCTCCTTAAATTTTTTAATCTCAGGAGGCCATTAATAAGGTCAGACAATCATGAAATACAATTTCACATAACCAGAGTACTAAATACTAGAGGGCGTAAAAGTTAAGCAAGTTCCAGTTCTACATATATACAATGTTTCCTCAAAATTCATGCAATTGCGTACATCAACTGACTTCATCTTAGGCAACTGAAGAACTTGGAAAATGTTGTACGAGTAAACTAGTTGTATGTAAGAAAATAAGCAAACTTGCTGATATGAGTTTATATTTTTGCATTGCTTCGTATCCTAAAGCATCTCCAAAAAAAGATAAGGTTGCAACCATATTGTATGTGAGAGAGGAAGGAGGTAGTTTACAACAACAATACCAGGCAAGAGAAGTTAAGAGAAACGTTACAAACCACCTTCTTTGTTTAAAATTGCAGCATCAATTTAGGAAAGAGATAATAAGTAACCAAGTGTGAATTTGGTGACACTGCCAGAGTAATGACTTTAATTCTTGATAGATGGGACATAGCCTTTCTGATGCATGGTCAAAAGGCTGTTCTAAGCCTTCTCCAGCAAACGATGGAGACACACATCCAATACCAACTTACTGCAGGGCAAAATCCTCAACCCTGTTAAATACCAACTGCACAGCAGGTAGCAATGACTGCATCTATTTAGCAGGGGTAACCTGTAACCTTTTTAGCAAGGTAAATTTTCTTTTCCTATTCTGTCTTCCTAAAAGTTTCCCAGCCCAATGTGCTTCAGTGCAGTTAAGCACCAAGTCCTCTTCTCCTGATAGATTCTGTGAGCTCAAGAGGGTGGTCAGTGGCTGGGACTGAGGTGGGAGTTACAATTACGTCAATCCCACCTGCTCACTCTCACCACCACTGAGGCTGGGCCCTTTCAAGACACAGCACAGAAGAGCATGCAAAGGAACAAAAGAGAAATTTGCACTCTCTTATTTGTCACAGGGGTAAAAGGGACTGATCATGATTTTGATCTGGTACTGCCTAGCTGCCAGGTGCTGAAGTACACCCTGAAAGCTGTCTACTAGTAAAGGCTTCGACAATCGCTGTTCTACAGACTGAGTCCAGATAAGCTGTGCTTGCATAAGAAGCCAGAGCAAGACATGCCTTTTGCATCTGTTCTGATGAAACCAGCATCCAGAGGACAGGTCACTGCTAGGGCGGTT